ATAACAAATTTGATTCTGTCTCCATGGGAATGAACAGGGACGAAGGTTCTTTCCTCCCTTCCGAGCAGGAAGCGAAAAGAGAAAAGCTTACAATGCTGGAATTGCCAGCCACAGATCTTGAAGATAAGAAAGGCACTCATATTTTTCTGCATTTCAGCATTATCCCAAGGGGTCACACACAGTAAATGTGTGTTATATTGCCCTTTGCCTTCTGTTATTTAACCTATGATTTATTTAAAAATATGCTTACATTGCTGGTCAAGGCAAAAACCCCTTGCAAAGACTGTTTACAGGTATAATCTGCAACACGGCAGCGCCATAAAATGTCGTTGACTCAACCGCCTACACAGAAAACACTCCTCTGTAACCCAAATAAATATATATATATAAACGGCAATGCCGACAATACAGAGATGAGCATTGCTTTTTCCACTCAAAATGAGTCACAACATCCAGATCCTCAATGCCTGCTTAAAAAGAGGGAGCCCGGTCGCTCTCCTACAGATGATCATTCCATAAGGATGGTGTCACTCCAGACTCCCCTGCCAATGTTTGTTTAAATTCTGGCGCATGGAAGTCGAAGACAAAGATTGAAACTTTGAAATGGGCAATTAGTAGAACGGGTCCAAATGAGGCGCTTCGGTCTTTTGGGCCCCCCAAAGCAGCCAGAGCTGTCTTCTGCTTCAATTCCAGCTTTGGAACAGTCTTCAAAGGCAGCCCCAAGTCAAATGCATGACAGTAGCCTAACCTCGCTGCACCCAAGACATGAACGACTACATCAAAAACTGCTTTTCTTTCCTGATGAGTAAATCAGCCAAGGTTGCTAATGGGTACCCCATTGCCGGGAGAACACCCCCCCCCAAATGGAGCTTTTGATTTATTAGAAGACGTGAAACCTCTTCTGAAAACAGCCCATGCTTGCTAGAGATCCAAACTTTGAACAGAACCCACGATAAATCAGGCAGCGGGAGGAGAAAGCATAATCGTGTCCATCTAATGTTACCCCAAAAAATCTACCGTTAAGTTACATCTCATTTTCGGTGACCCTAAACAAGTTTTGAAACCATGCAAAACATTTAAGGATTCGTTCTATCAGTGTAACCTCCCCCCCCCAGTAAGTTTCTACTGTCCGACGGGGATTCGAACCCAGGTCTCGAGGGTTCTACTCCATCTCTCTACCCACTCCTCCCCAGTGGCTCTCGTCTTGAAGATGAGAAGATTAATCTTGAAGATTAAGAGGTTTTATTTCAGACGCTTCCACAGACGGTAACTGCTTTCTTAATCAAATAGCGGGCGATTCCAAAAATTGTCATCTAAGACGACAGGAGGACCTAAAAATTCACTACTGTGAAATGTGGTGCTGAAGGAGAGCTTTGAGGATACTCTGGACAGTTGGAAAGATGAACAAGGGGGTCCTATATCAAATCAAGCCTGCGGGGGGGTGAAAATGTTGGAACTGAGGCTGTTCCACCTCACGAGGACAATAATGCTGGGAAAAGTGGAAGGCAGCAGGAAAAGAGGAAGGCCCCAATACAAGATGGACTGACTCGCAAAAGGAAGCCACAGGTTTGAGTTTACAAGAGCAGGGCTGTTGAGGGCAGTATGGAATTGAACCCGGACAAAGGTGGTCCATTCAGCCATTTTTGGGGGAACTGATTTTTGACAGGGCAGCCCTCTTAAAGGACAACTCTGAGACTGCAATTCGAAGCTAAAAGGGTGTCTCCATTTGTGTGTGGGGGGGCTTTCCTGCACCCTTCGATTATGCCCGATCAACAGCTCACAAATCCATGCGTTTAACAAGGAGAGGAGACGGCGAAAGAGAAACTATTGAGGGAAAATTTCCACTGGTCAGTAAGCCTTTGTCATTACAGTATTATTATTGCTTTTATTTTTTTCTTTAAAGTGAATCTATTGATTATTTTTTCCGAGCATCAGGGCTTCGAAGGGATTTGCAAGAAGAAAGATTTAAAGTGGGGAGGGGAAAAAAAAGGAATTTAACAGCTTTTGCTGGAAATGTTCTTGGTTCAGAAATTAAGGAGTCTGGGTGGACGTTGAGCCCAAGATCAGGGGTCCGAATTAGTTCCCTGAATTTATCGTCCCTTCCCCGTGCCCTCCAAGGAGCCCCGATTGAGCCTCTCACAAGGATCATGTGAGGAGGATTAGACTAAATGGCAGCAGGATTTCCCCATGATCTGTATCGGGCAACCGATTACAGAAAATACACACGCCGGCGGAATCCTGTAGCACCTGAAAGGCTAACAGATTTATTACAAACTGCTGGTTAGCTCTGTGGTTTCCGTCTCTGGCCATAGAGCCAGAGGCTGGGTGTTCAAATCCCCACTGGGCCTCCTGGACAGACCATAAGGTCTGTAGTTCTAAGATGATGATGATGATGACAATGACACCAACAAAGTCTTGTTGATCCCCCCCATGAGTAAAAATTCTGCTGGGCATCAGCTGATGTGGACCGCAGCCTTCTTCCTCAGATGCATCTTAAGTGGGCCACGGTCCATAAAATCCTACCCGCCATGCTCCTCGTTAAGGCGTAACGAGACCAAGAGCTTGATTGCCACCAACAAAGTCTTGTAGGTCCCCCCCCCATGAGTAAAAAATCAGCTGATGTGGACCGCAGCCTTCTTCCTCAGATGCATCTTAAGTGGGCCACGGTCCATAAAATCCTACCCGCCATGCTCCTCGTTAAGGCGTAACGAGACCAAGAGCTTGATCGTTTTTTCCCCATGCCACCGCTGAACGCTGCCTGCTGCGTATATTCGGCATGCGAGATTTATCATTGCAGCAAAAATAGCCCGGCTGAAGAAAAACGGGGAGCCTATTTTGACCAGATTTATTAGCTCAGGTGTCTTAAGAAAAACACCTTTAAGATACCACAAGCCTCTTTTTTGGGGGAGGGGGTGTGTCTTCGGCTCCATTAAGTTTTTATTTTTCCCCCCCTTGGCTGAGGATCAAATTTGGAAAAGTCTTTCCAAACCTCCAAGTCCAGACTCTGCAAAAATATGGGAGCTGAAAAGTAAGATAATTTTAAATTTTCCAGCGTTGTATATGCAGGCAGGCAGAAGGGAGGAAGGAAGATCTGAGCCTTCTGGTATTGATTGATTGATTGATTGACACTATTTCCTCCATGTAAATCAAGGCAGCCTAGGTCCTTCCACTCTGCTCTCCCCACAGTCCTGTGAGGTAGAACAGTCTTAGAGAAAACATTTTCAACCCTGGGCCACTTTGATTCTTTGTGAGGTTTTAGATACTAAAATCTATAAAATCACTAAGTGGGAAGGGAGTCTCTGAGGTCATCAAGCCCACCCCCCTGCTCAAGGCAGGAATCCAAATCAAAGCAGATCTGACAGAGGGTGGACCAATACAGAATACTTCATTGTCAAAGCTGACAATAAGTGGGAAGGGAGTCTCTGAGGTCATCAAGCCCACCCCCCTGCTTCCAAATCAAAGCAGAACTGACAGAAGGTGGACCAATAAAGAATACTTCATTGTCAAAGCTGACAATAAAGTCTCATCATTGTTTTAATATTACATTATTAGCCTGTATTAATCCTACCTAACAGAACATCACCCGACCATACTCAATTCTTTAAACAAATTCGGTTGTATGCATCAAACCCGTACGGATTCGGTTAGAAAGGGAGACGAGGCTCAATCTGGTTTTAATTTTGGGAAATAAATCAGATCCCTCGTGTGGTGCAGTGGAAAGAGTGACCGATGAGGATCCGAAGGCCTGGGTGTGAATCCTGGCTCAGCCCTGCAAGCTCACTGGAGGTGGGGAACTGGTAAGACCAGTTAAATATCTCACTTGCCTTCAAAGATCTATGAGGGTCGCTATAAATCAGTGTGATCCGAGGGCACATAACAACACAACAAATTAGATGGGTGAACAGTATCCCCAATGAATTTTTTTTTTTTGCCCATGTTTCAAATATTTTTGTTTTCTGGGTCTTTCTCGGAAATAAATATCTGCATTCTTTTGTTTCAGATAGATAAGATTTTCCCCCACCCTGCTTTTATAAGGTAAATGCAGCCCTCTGATATTTAATGACATCGTCTTCCGTTGATCCATTTTATGGATTATTTATTTATAATCCGGTGGTTATAAAGCGGCTGTGGTTTACACTATATTCCTTTATTTATCTTGATGGAGGGCTGCAGGAGATTCCGACCTAGAGCCCTGGATGTCCCCACATCGGAAAGGGGTGTCCCTTTGACCATTTCTTTCAGATGGTCAAAAAAAAAAAAAACACCAAGAGCTATTGTGGTGCAGTGGGCAGCGTGACCAGGACTCCGGAGACCTGGGTTCGAATCTCTGCTCGGCCACAGAAACTCACTGTTTGGGTTACCATTATTAGCAAAACCACCCTTGGGGCATCTCGCGTGCCTTGGAAACCCAACTAGGGTCGGAACATGGCAATCTGTCACAACGTCTGGCTTGACACCTCCCGGATCACAAAGGATCCTTTTGGATCCAGGAGATCCATTCAAAACCATAGCTCTGGGGTCCCCTTTTACCTCATCCAGGGACGACAGCCCCTTCCCAAATCTCCCCCGAAGCCTTCCTTTATTTCTCTGCAAAGAACCCCCGCGGTTGCTCTCCTGGGTGCAGGTGTGGGCGCTCGCTCTCTACACATGCTCAGGGGCACTGTTTCCACCCGTCCCTCTCCCAGCTGAGCAACCCATTTCAGGGCTCTGTGTGTGTCTGTGTGTGTGTGTGACAGAGAGAAACACAAAAGACGCCTTACAAGCAACCCGGCTTTCCTCCCTGGCCCCTCGCCTTTCTCCCACCTGAAGTCCCACAACAAAAGACGCCTTACAAGCACCCCGGCTTTCCGCCCTGGCTCCTCGCCTTTCTCCCACCTGAAGTCCCACAAACCCATCCATCTGCGGCACACGGCTCGATCCCTGCCTGGATCGCGATCCCCAAGCTCCGAGGAGGAGGAGAAAAAAAATTAAATTAAATTAAATTAAAACCAAGCACTTACCTTCCCTTGCAGGAGAAGCCACAAAACCCTCGCTCTCTTCTTTTTTTTCCCCTTTGGGTCTCCAAATAATCTCCTGGATCGCCAAAAATCCCCCCTCCTTCCCTTCCCTTCCCCTCCGGGGCTCCGATCCCCTTCTCGCCCTCTTGCGCCCGGGCTTTGCCGAGTCTCCCTCCCTGCCTTCCCCTCCCAAGCCCCGGAGAGCCGCCCGGCCAATCCGCGGCCTCGTTACTTTGCGCCCGGGCGCAGCCTTTTCTCTCTTTCTGGCTTCTCCTCCCTTCGCTTTGATTTTTTTGTCACGAGCGGCGCGATTGGCGGAGGGCAAAAGCACCCGGGCTCCTCATTGGGCCGCCGCCGCGCCATTGGGGGAAAAAAGGTCCGCCTCCCTTTGCCAGCTTGCGAAAGTTGCCTCTCCGGTGCGCCTGTTTTGCGCGCTCCGGGCTTGCAGGGTAGGTAGCTCGGGGTTTTGCCCCCCCTTTTTTGGGTGAGGATCAAGCCCTGAGAACTGGCTGGGGAGGAAATCCTATCCCTTGTTTTCCTGCTTCCTGTGGAAACCCTCCTCCCTCAGCTTCCTAGGGAAGCCCTCCTCCTTTTGAACCATGAGGACTAGAACCTTTGGCTGGGTTTCTTAAAGGGGAAAGCGGCAGCTCAGTGTACTTCCTGGACTTAAACTGAAGTAATATATTTTATTTTAAATTTTAACCACCACCACCCCCCGCCATCTTCCTCCTTTGAAATCATTTATTTTATTTACATTTGTTACCCCCCTTTCCTTAAAAAGGACCCAAGGTAGCCCAAGGGTGGAGGACAGAGGCTGCGAGCGGGTCAACCCTGTGACTACGGGTTCAAACGGCAGGAAGCCAGATTTTGGCTGAAGATCAGGACGGGAAAACTTCTTAACCGTTAGAGCAGTATGACAACGGAACCCCGTGGCCTTGGGAGGTGAGGAGTGCTCCAACACTGGGGATGCTTGAGAGAAACTGGGGCAACCCATTTTCAGATCTGCTTTGATTTGAGTCCCTGCGTTGAGCAGGGGGGTTGGACTGGATGGCCTCCGAGGCCCCTTCCCACTCCAGGATTCTACATGGGCGATGCCCCCTGGAGCTGCATCCTGGGGTTGGCAGATATGAAGCCCCTGGGAAGTGGGCGGCTGGCTGTATCTCAGTCATTTAGGTCTCTGGCTGAGGTGCCAGAGGTTGCGAGTTCAATTCCTCCCTGACACGGGCTAACCTTGATGATCCTTCTAGCTCTGCAGTTCTGAGATTATTATCATTAAGATGATTATTTACAAAGTCTAAAGAAACCTTTTATATCTCCTTCCAGTTTCGGAGCACAGTTGGGAGCGGCGATACCCCATCCGTCCAAGCCAAAAAAAAAATAAACACCTCTGGCTGGCGAAGATCTGTGGCTGAAGGAACCATAAAAAGCAGCTACCAGGTAGACAAAACTGAGACAGGTAGATCTGATACGGTTTAAGTCCGTTGCTTGTGCTCCTGTTTAAGCCATCACTTGATTCCATGTAATGAGGACTAGAATCTTGGCATGCCTTCAAGAGGAAAGGCTTTCTGACTCAGTGGTAATACAGCGGTGCACGACGCAATGAGATCACAGCTGTGTTCAGCTTTCCACAACCTGGTGCCCCCAGATGTTTTTAACTAGAACACCCATCATTCCCAGCCCATTTGAGGCTGAGAGAGTGTAGCTAGTCAGTGGTCACCCGGTGGTGTTCATGGTTGAGTGAGGATTTGAACCCAGGCCTCCCAACACTCCCAACAAATACTCTACACTGCCTCTTGAAGGAGCAATTAAGATCCATTGACTTTACCAAAAAAAAGTAAAGGGCAGGATCTGTTCTCGATCTCCTGCTTGTCCAGGAGAATATCACTTTCTTTCTTAACTCTTGGCTATGATACTGCAGGATGATGGTCTTTGGTGGATGATGGGGGGTGTAGTTCAACCAGAAGTTGCCCACCCCTCTTATATACACTTAACTTGGAAGTAAATCCCATTGAAGTCAACTGAACTTGCTTCGGAGTGGACAAACACAGGATCACACTTCACCACAATAATTAGAAGACTGTCGGAGAGGTTAGTGGTTCAGGCCTCTGGCTGCGGAGCCCAAAGGTTGGGAGTTCGAGTCCCGTCACGGCGCCTCCTTGACAGGGACTGGACCCGATGATCCGTGAGGGTCCTTTCCTGCTCTGCAGTTCTAAGATTATTATTATTTTAGCATTAAAGTACACCTTTGTTTCTTGAGCTGGGGTGAGACTCACGGAGTGGCCAAGGCTGTATTTATTTATGTAGTAAATGGAAGTCCTTTGCCTGTTGCGAAACTCAAACATCCAGCTTCTTTCACTGTCAGTGATGTCACTGAGGCAGATGGGATTTGTAGTCAAACCACAGGTTGAGGGTTTCTGTTGTCTGTCCCCGGTTAAGTCTTCTCAGGGTGCCTCAAACTTTCCAAAAGTTTTATTTTAATTTTTTATTGGCTTCCTTCAGTCCTGCCGGCTCGGTTTTTCCTGCAGCCTCTCTTTCCAGATGCTGCGCTCCCTCGGCCATCATCCTTCATTCAGAGTTTCCACCTCCACCGCAGCTCTCATCTCCCTTGCCGGGTGACTCATCCTGGCTCAGGCGCCCTTCTTGCTTTGGCCGGATGGAAAGTCAGCCAAGGGCCAAAGTGGGGGAATCTCTCCAGAAGAGCTTGAGGGTGGGGTGGGGTGGGGGGAAAATACCCATAGACCAAACGCAGGCAGGGCAATAGGAAATAATGAGTTAGGATGATCACATCAGAGCTGGAAACATCACTTTTCAAACTACAACTTCCAGTAACTTGGGAATATATAACTACTGAGCAATCCAGTGGCTGTGCTAAATAAATATATATATTTGTGGTTGATGATGATGATGATGATGATGATGATGATGATGATGATATCAATTGGTGCTGCCTGGCCCAAAGGCTTTGCCTATTAAGACCCAGAGGGACCTCCCCTCCAGATTATCCTGTCCTCAACAGCCCTGCTTCGCCATGGCAGACTCAAGCCTGTGGCTTCCTTTAGGGAATCGGTCTGTCTCATATTTTGGTCTTCCTCTTTTCCTGCTCCCTTCCATCTTTCCCAACCTTATGGTCTTTTCCAGAGAATCCAGCTTTCTCAGGATGTGGCCCAAAGGAGGACAACCTCAGTTTCGACATATTTGCCTCCAGAGATGTAGTTCAGGCTTGATCTGATCTAGGACCCACTGGTTTGTCTCTTTGGCCGTCCATCGTATTTGCAAAGCTCTCCTCCAGCACCACAATTTAAACAAATCACTTTTATTTTTTCCCTGCTAGCTTTCTTAATTGCCCAGCTTTCACACCCAATACACGGTGACCGAAAACACAAGAGGGTGGACGATCTTGGATTTCTTTAGTAATTCTTTTAAATTTTTGGCCTGGAAGGGGCTAGAAGGGAGTCAGATTGCCACCCACCGCTTACTGCACACGCCAGCTTTCGTGGCCTCTCATCATATGCCTAAGACAGATCTGCGGAAAGATATGGGTAACCTTGATTTTATCGTAGATCTGTTCGCCTTAAGTACCTTTTCCTTCTGCAGGATTTCTGCTCACGTGCTCCTGTGCTGAAGTAAGATAGCAATACAAAAAAAACCTCACAAGACGCATGGGAACTGCAACAAAATGTTGCAGCGTGACTCGGTTTGTGTTCAGTGTTCAAGCCCACCCCACTAGCTATGCCTTTCTCGGCAGATTGGATCCAGCACACTCTCGATGTTCAGATTCTCTCTCTGTTCAGGTTTTTCTGCCCCAGAGGAATCAAATCTGAGAGAACGACCTATAGGTCGTTATCGATCCATCTTGGAAAATAAAATTAATTTCACTACGAACGATCCTAGGTTTGTGAAAATTGTGCTGGAGTTTATAGGAGACCCCTTGGAAGTGCTCTTAGTGCCCCCTGCTGGATAGTATGGAGTACTGCAATAAGGTGAACCTGCTTGTCCAGTATTCACTTCAAGGGCAAAAGTTTGATACGGTCGTAAGAGACATAAAAATACAACAATGAGCCAAGTAAAACACTGCACGAAAACATCAAAGAGATAATGTAAACAGTGTGCATATATGGAGGTATAAGAGTTTATGAACAAGACATTTACTATTATGTAACACAATAGGTATTGTGGTGCTCTGCTGTTTTGAATGGGTTGAAATAAAGATTTAATTTGGGATCCGTTGTTCAAGAATATTTGAAGGTTAAAGACCTGCAACGCCAGTGCTCCGGACGGATGGGATCTTTTGATTTCTCGGACTACAGATCCCATCATTCCCTGTTCAGGGAGTTCTGCCTGAATTGGACACATCTTACGGACCCCGGAATGTGGCTCACCTGGGAGAAAAGGCCTTAAGCTAGGAGGTTCGGAAGCTTGGCTAGGCCTAGCTCGGCCCAAGCTTCCTGTTCAGAAAGGAAGCTCCCAGCGAGCACTGGGGCAGGAACAGGAAGCTTGGGTGGAGCTAGGCCTAGCTTGGCCTCAAGAGCCTTCCAGTTGAGGCCTTCGCCCCCCCCCCCGATGAGCTAGATTTAAATATTTGTGCAGTGTAGAAATTCCCAGAATGGGGGATTAGGAGATTTGTAGTCTAAGAAATCTAAAAATCTCTAATGCGTTATCTGGAACAGCACCCACACAAACGTATTTATGCTGAACCAGTGAACCCGGTGCCAGCTAGGCATGAATAGCGAGAGGTGCCGAGACTTTGCAGCCGCCTCACACGCAAAAAATACGAAACCATTGTGTCCTCCAGAGCTGGTTGCCCAGAGACCTCTCTCCTCCCGAGGAGTCCCGGAGAAGTACAGCAGTTTCCTGAGATTTTGACTGGCCCTCTATAGACTTGATGTCTGTATGCAAAAATAATAATAGTAATGACCCAAACAAAATTAAAAGAAATGTATATTTTTAAACACACACATACACACACCCCTCACCAAACTCTGTCTCCGTGACCATTTTGTGGCTAGAGTCCAGCCATGCCTAGGTAAATTACAGAGCAAATCAAGATGAGGTAGTATCCCCAGCAATAGAATATCCTTGTATTTTGACCATCCTTCAAGCCTCACATTGATGCAATGGGAAATGTTGTGGCTCCCACTGATTCGAAAGGGACTACGGGAGATGAAGATGATGGTGTCTGTAGGAAATATGTGTTTGCGTGTACATTTGTGAAACATTCGGTTGCATGGCTAAGCAAAGGCTCATTCACACCAACAAGCAGCGGTGGGAGTATATGGGGGAATCAGGAAGTCCGTTATTGAAAGTGGGCATGTATGTATCACCTAAAAAACAGACTTATAAGAAATTGTCTGGATCCTCTCTTCAAAGAGCCACCAGAATTTCAAGTCGTTGCAAATAGTTAATTGCATGAATAGGTTCACCAAGCTTGGATAGAAACTAAATACTTGTCCAGATGGTATATTTGTTGTTTTTAAAATCCTGGGTTCTCCGTGGACATTTTTTCCTGCCATCCGTACGACAATTCTCCATCTCTTGCTTCATCCAGTGCTTTTCTCGGTGGCTTTCTGCTCGCTTTCACCCCCTTTTGGAAGTATGGTTTTATTTTCAGCGTTGGTTTGTACCACGGGTGAAGTTTGCGGTTCGTGTCTGTGGAGGGAGAGTCTCTGTTTAGAAGCTTCATGTTTGGCCCTTGACGCTCAAGGAAAACCAGCAACACCCTGCAGCAAAAGTGGTCTCAGGGAAGTGGATTTTTTGAAAGAGAAAAGATGTGGGTTTTCAAAAACGCGTTTGGATGCAAGTCCGGGTAAGTCCCGGATTCCTTCGGCCCCAAGTTTCAGAAAAGTGCAGAGTGCTGTACGTGAAACTCTTAAGGAGAATAAGCCCATCTTTTTCGCAGTCCATGTCCAGCTTCTCCTTGGCACGAGATGGGGATTTGGAGAAGTGCCACCATGGTGCCACAAACAGCCACCACGTTCTGGTTTTTTTTAATATAGCAGAACCAAAGCATTCCAGAATTTTGCTGCTTGATGGGAAGGATGAGATGCCCCTTCTCCCAAAACCTTGTGATCAGAATCCACTTGACTGGCAATAAAATTTCAGTTCAGTTTGGGCAGACTGTCCACAGTTGTGATAAAAAGCAGTGCGGTTTCACCTTGTAGCACACATAGTTCTTTCCTCCAGCTCCTCACCATTGCTGCCCTGCCTCCGGCGTCAGCCACCCGCCTCCCTTCGCCTCGTGATAGGGCCAGCCCTCCCCGAACCATGTGTTCTCCGCCAGTGCTCTGTGTGTGGAAACCCAGAAAGACTGCATCCTAGGGTCCGTCTGCATTCTTAAGAAGGCACCAAAGCCCGACAGGGAAGAAGGCAAGCTTAGCCATGGTTCACTTGATCAAACTCCAGAGTCGTCTGCAGCACATTTAAGAGGAAGGAAGGAGGAAGAAGCAGCTGTGTTTGTGTTTTTTATGTGGATCCTGCAACAAGAGACAGAGAGAACTTTATAAAATCAAACCTGTTAATCCAGAGAAATACCAGTTTCCTCTACAGTAAGACTCCCTATCCGCAGGATCAGGATCTACTGATTCATTTATCCGCTGCCTGAAAATATTAAATGAAAAATCCCAGAAATACATATTTATATGTATTTCAAGGGTGTATTTATTTCCAAGGTGCATTTACCAGAACTGGCCACTACCGGGAGCTAGGAACCATGCAATGATTGGCATTTCATACTTCTGCATATTTCGGCATCCGCAGGTGGGTTTGGAACCGAACCCCCGCAGATTGCTGGAATCTTACTGTATTCATCATCCTCATCTTAGAACCGCCGAGCTGGAAGGGACCCCATGGACCCTTGTGTAATGTGAATGAGGTACAGCAGGGAATCGAACACCCAACCTCTGGCTCCGCACCCAGACGCCTAAATCAGCTCGTCCCTCCCATGAACTAGCAATGCCTTCTGTGCATAAAGGAATATTGAGACTTTTGGGAAGCAAATCTTCCTGGTTTGGAAGACGAGGATGGAGGAGAATAGAAGGAATCAATGAATAATAACCCGGCTTATCAGAAATTAATAGGGATTAATTTTAGACGCCACTTACAGTTTTCCCGAGCGCCCTTTTCCTTTACTTGCAAGTTGCCTATGAAAGAGCTGTCAGCATCCTCTTTTTCCTAATAAAATGTTTGGAGGGAAAATACATTTCAGTGAACTAAACTAGAGATGCATTTGTTTATCCACACCGTTGCACGTGTCCGCATTTGATGAAATGTGTACCCCATGGCTGAGTGGTACTTGAGGCAGCAAAGCATGTTGGAGCTAAGCAGAGCAGAGTCTGGTCAGCACCTGGATGGGGGACTGCCTGAGGAGGCACAGTGGAGAAATCAGACTCCTGACTCCACAGGCAGCCACCCAAACTCACTGAGCCAGCTAGCTAGGACCTTGCTTAATGGATCCCATGGCAGTGACCACCAACACAGACTTTAACATCCGTTCATGCAGCTAGTTTCTTCTCCTCCTTCCGAGGCACGATCTGTGCTCTAGGGGCTCACAGTTAAGGGACCAAGCCAGGACTGTGCTGTGCACAGAAAGCTGAGCGCTGGGAAGGTCATTCTCCCTAATTGGCCTCAACTGGAACCTGTGGATGATAGCTCTCATTGCTCACCCAATGGCCAACCAGGGCAGAATTAGCCTCCTGCTTAACCAGAGGTTGAACAAAGTCCCTTTTTTAATGACAACTCCCATAATCCCCCAGCTAGCATCTGATTGGCCAGGGAGATTCTCAGTTCTGAAGATCTCTGTCCTGAACCCATGTTCCTTTGGTGAGGTATAAAAGGGTTTTCTCGCTGCAAGTAGACACTGTGGTCTGAGCATCAGGCTGCTTCCAAACCTCCAGGAAAAGAGGAAGATGCTTCAGGAGGAAAAAAAAAAAAAAGGAAAAGGGCGCAATTCCTTACTGGTTGGGTAGAATTCTGCTCGGCAAACTTGAATTTCTTCTGCTTGTAGTAATCGCGATTGGATAGGAAGTTCAGCAGAAGAACGTCACAAAGGACAGAAGCCTAGTGAAAACAGATGGGAAATTGAGAAATGCCGTACTTTGGGCACATCATGATAGAAACAAGCAAGACTCACTGGAAAAGATAATCACGGTCGGGAAAAAGAGAAAGCAGTAGGAAAAGAGGAAAACCTTCCGTGTGATGCATTGACTCAATAAAAGAAGCTAACACCTTGAGTCTGGAAGGGGTCTGAACAGGATTTGTCAATTATAGGACCTGAAGGAAGTTACAGATCCATCATCACCCCATCCGGAAGCAACATCATTCCTAATTCTGATGGAGACGGATGACTTCTTCCAGTATTTAGGATGTGTTCAGGAATCCGCTCCGGGTTTTGACCCGGTCTTTAAAGGAGCTGTCCCGAGTGCTGAACCTGATCACGCCAGCAACGTTTGGGCTAAAAATCCCAAGCCGATTCAAGGGTCTTAACACCTGATTTTAAATTATTTCAAATATCTTATGTTTTAAAATTGTTTTTATTTATTTATTAGTGAGTGAGTTAGTCTGTTCCTTTCATTTAAAAGGTGCCTTTCTTCCCCATAACTCAAGGCAGCTTTATACAGATTTCTAAACTCCCGTGAGATCCTGTGGTCTTTGAACTATAAATGTTTAAACAATTTAAAAAAATCAAATAATCAATTTTTGCAAAGTTCAGCCGCTCCATCTCAGAAAATCAAACACAGTCATTGACGTCTGGACAACTTCCCATTCTGATCCCCCTCCAATTTTGGGCCTTTCCAGAACCAACAACATCGTCCTTGTAGAGGAAATTCCCATTTTTGGAAAACGTAAGAAAATAGGAACTTACAACCCCGAAAATGCCGATTCCAGAACCTATAGTCGTCATGGTTGGGATAATGTCAAATTTTCCTGCCTAGGGATAAAAAAAAAAGAGGGGGGATTCAAATCCGAGACAAACCCTTGTTGATAGTGACGTTGTTAATTCAATCATAGAATTGTAGAGTTGGAAGGGGCCTCTACATCAAGCCCACCCCCTTGCTCAAGGCAGGATTCCAAATCAATGTAGATTTGTCTTATTTCCTCTTGAATGCCTCCAGCAGTGGAGCGCCCACCCACTCCCGAGGTCATTGGTTCCGTTGTCGTACTGCGCTAACAGTTAAGAAGTTTTTCCTGATATTGAACCGATATCTGGCTTCCTGTGGCTTGTGCCCATGATGACGTGTCCTGCACTTTGGGATGATGGAGAACAGATCCTGCCCCTCCTCTGTAGGATTACCTTTTAAGTCTCTGAAAAATGCTATCCTATCTCCCCTCAGTCTTCTTTTCTCAAAGTTAAACACGCCTAGTGATTTCACTTTTTCCTCTTATGGCCTGGTTTCCAGCCCCCTGATAATCCTAGTTGCCCTCTTCTGAACTTGCTCCTTCTTAACGTGCGGTGTCCAGAACTGGACAAAATACTCAAGGTGAGGCCTAACCAGTGCCAAATTGAGAGGAACTAGTGCCTCGTGGGGTTTGGAGACTACACTTCTGTCAATGCAGCCTAAAATAGCATTGGCCTTTTTCGCAGCCCCATCAGACGGTTGGCTCATATTCAGCTTGCGATCTACAATAATTCCAAGATCTCACTCGGAATGTTACTGAACCAAGTATCCCCCCCCTCAAAATCTTGTAAAGAAAACAAGTGAGTTTTAATTCACCTCCCGTTTAATTCTGCATAGCTTAAAGATGGCAAGCAGTGAAATTACAGGGTTGCCACTTCAAAATAAAGCTGACCAAGGATACAGTCACACAGGGAAATAGGACCATTTTGGTCCAGCTCTAGTGCTTGTTCTTTTGGGGTGCATTCCCCAGCAGATGGGAGGATACAGTCACACAGTGAAATAGGTCAAAATGTGAACACTTCTTAAGTGGTCTGGTAGGTGTATTTCCCAGTGATCACACAACAGACATGGAAATGCTCTCCAGCCCAACCCCGATTCATGTCCAAGCTGGACCATTTTGGTCCAGCTCTAGTGCTTATTCTTTTGGGGTGCATTCCCCAGCAGATGGAAGGGTCCCTTTAAGGACGAACCCTCCCCTCAAAGTGGCCCTTTCTGGTGCCATCTGTCACGCACCTCTGCAGCCATCTGATGGCACCTCAATTTCAACCGGGGAAGCATGTAGGGATGTGACACACTGCGTTTGGCTTGCCCGGAGGAACGTCCGATTCCCGTCATCCAATGGACAACGCATGAAAACAAAAACTCAAGAGCGAATTGTTGTGAAAATGCGTTACCTTTCCATTTACTAGAATGTCAAAGCGAATCCCGAACACCTTGTAGAGATTTCTGAGGTCTCTTCCATTTTCTCGGTAATATCTGGCATGCCTTTCAAATCGAAAAAACAAGATTGATCAGAACGAAGCATTCGAATGGGGAATAAGATTGTCTGCGAAAAAGATTTCAGCTGCCTTTGGGTCCTTAAAGGACTGATGATACAGCTTTAGAGATGGGCATGAACCACCCAGTTTGGCAGTTTGTACTAGTTCATTTTTCTGCCCAACAAGTGTTTCGTGCTTCCCAGCCCCGCCTCCTCTGATGGGCGCCCTCCTGGCTTCCCTGCCCTGCCTCCCCTGGCAGCTGCGTGGGTGCTCATCGGCGAAGGCAGGGTTGGGAAGTGCTGAACCACCTGTTGAGCCAAAAAACAAACTGGCATGAACCACCAAACCAGCCAGTTTGTCCCAGTTCATTTTTCTGCCCAACAAGTGCTTTGTGCTTCCCAGCCCCGCCTCCTCTGATGGGCGCCCTCCTGGCTTCCCTGCCTTGCCTCCTCTGTCAGCTGCGTGGGTGCCCATCGGCGGAGGCAGGGCTGGGAAGTGCTGAACCACCTGTTGAGCCGAAAAACGAACTGGCATGAACCACCAAACCAGCATAACGTCTGTAGAAAGATTCTACCTTTGGTATTCATGGAATTAAAGCCCAGGCATAAATGTACAGCTAAGATCATAGACTCACAGACTCATAGATTCATTGAGTTGGAAGGGGCCTCTTAAGGCCATCGAGCCCAACTATCTGAATCCAAATCAAAGCAGATCTGACAGAAGGTTGTCATATTTTCTCTTGAATGCCTCCAGCATTGGAGTGCTCACACCTTCCCAAGGTGATGGCTTCCATTGTCGTACTGCTCTAACAGTTAAGAGGTTTTTCTTGCTCCCCACCTCAGTCTGGCTTCTTGTAGCTTGAGCCTACCATGACATCTTCTCTGAAACCACAAATCAACTGATGTCCTGTTTCAGGACTTCCTGTGGATTCCGACAGCTTCCTGACAATGATATGGATTACATGGCAGCCTCGGGAGAAGTTGGAAATATTTAATTTCCAGGTAAACTGTCACTGCCGATGATTACATCATCTGCCTTAGGCAGAGTAAGTTACGGCAACAGGATTTCAGCCATCTAGTACCACATTCTCTTGAGGGACTGTACCGCTTTAGATTCCTCGTAGCTGGGGTCTCCCTGCAGGGAGTCGCTTATTGTCATGAATATTATAAAATACAATTCATTTGATATCGAAATAAAATTGCCATGTAGAGACATCTACATTGGGAAGAGGGCAGGTCATTCAGAGTTGGCAGAGCTTGTCCCGTCCTGACGTTCGACCAGATTAGGAGCCCGTTGTGGGTCTTACCTAGAAGAGACCTCGGAATGAATGAGTCTTCTAAAGTCAACCCTTCCTTAAGTCCGATCGATTCAGTGGCTCCCGTCTAGCCGGGACTCGCAACCGGATTTTGCCCCGAGAGCCAACACAAGCCAAAGTTCATAAACGTGAAAAGTCATGGATATGAAGGAGGTTGAATGGAATAACTCTAGAATGCCACCGTACCTGAAATTGAAACCTGGGGAGATGTTATTGTCTTCATTGTAAAGCCCATGGAACTGGTAAACAGGGACACAGTATCTCACCGGCCAGTCCAGATCACAGTCCCAACTGATGGTGATCCCCACTACGCCTCCCTGCCCAAGAGAAAGAGTACATTGGCCGAGCAATTCATCACATGACATAAGCCAATTAGAGACAACATCCTTTTAAAAACATCTGACCCACTTTGGAGGAAAAAGTGCATTTTTTAAAAAGTGATTTTTATTATAATAAATACCTATTATAATCTCGAATTGGCCTTCTCGGCCACACTAGACGCTGTTCCAAGACCTCTGTTCAGAGCATGTGACCCTAGTCTCATGAGACTGAAGGATGCCTACACTTATTATAATAAATATTTATTATGACGAGCATCACACTGTCTTTTAGTGAAGACTGTGGTCTTGAATGGATGGTTTTTGTCCTTGGAGTCAATGTATTTGTCGTGTCCGCGTCCTAGGCATTACGAAGTGAAAAAGCACTAATTTTATATTACCTTACATTATATGAGATATCCTATCACAAACCTTTGTGTTGTGAAAATTATGTTCTCAGGCTGCCAACCCCTTTAAAATATGCTTCTTGGCCTTGCTGAGGATCTGGGCATGGGATTCGGGGATGTTTTGAACAACAAATTCCGCAGTTCTCCATTCTGGGAGTTCCACCCAACAGACAGAGAGACACCTATAAATATCTCACTATGGCTCACCTGGGAGAAAGGCCTATGCTGAAAGGCTCTAGCTAGGCCTAGTTTCCTGTTCAGAAAGGAAGCTCCCTGCTCCCACCAGCCCATTTCTTATTATCCAGGACTGTCTCAAGAAGTCCTCACCTTGCGGGCAAGAAGAGAGAAAGTCTGTCCAGATTCTGCCACGATGTGACCCAGTTCGAACACAGGACACAAGGGATCTTTGACTTTGTGATAGGTGCAGTTTCTCAGGTATTTCTTCGTGATTTTCTCCACCAAGTTGCGCCTGCGAAAAATTAGGAGCCAAATACGATCAGATCTGCACCCTTTGTTTTAGCTATTTGTAAATCCTTCTATGTTTGTTTTTACACGGTGTGGCTAATAACGGCCCAGTGCGCACAACGGTGTTATGGAACCAGGTCTTGCGGGATTGAGGTCTCAGGACTTTTTGGGTAGGAAGGATTAGGACGTAATCTGCTACCCCTTTCAGGGTTCAGGGCTCCCTCTGTGCTTAGCTGCAATACTTCCAGCTGCTAGGAGAGTGCAAAGCGTTTGAGGGTGGCTTGGTCTTAAATCTGCAATCAAGGGCCATTAACTTCACAAAAGACCTACTCTTCAGTTGCTGAAATGCACTGATCCAGGAGCCTGTTTGTTTAGACTCTTGTTTTGGAGAGGAATCACTACGGGCACTGTCAGGATGACCCCGTACACTTCCAAACTTACTGGCACCTCACTGGATACGTTAATCCAATGCATCTCCACCCACCTCATATACCCCTCTGTCCAATTTGATCTCTAATATACAGTAGGAACCCCTTATCCATGGGATCAGTATCTGCTGATTCACCTATCCATCGTTTCAAAATATTAAAAACAAAAAGAAAAATCCCAGAAATATATTTTTCTAAAGCGGTTACCAGAACTGGCCACTAGAGGGAGCCAGAGACTTAGCTATGTCTATCGTTCATTAAAAGAATATATTTCCACAATGACATTACCAGAACTGGCCACTAAAGAGAGTCAGAGGCCATGCTATGTATAATGTTCTTTATAATCCCCATTTTTCAACATTTGCGGGAGTTGCTTGGATCTGATCTCCTGCAAGTACAGAGATTCCTGCTGTTTATCCAAAAATGCCAGAGGTAGGAATGGAGAAAAGTCAAACCCGGACCTGAAATAACAAAGCCATAACTAAGTTTCTAGTCCATATGACCTGGATTGATAGAAGTGGGATCACATCAGTCAGCCTTAATAGGGACCAACGCCCATGTTGCTTACCAGAGGAGGAAGGGGAAGACCTGGAAAAGCAGTAACCGGGGATCCCGATAGCGGAGATGGGGCCGGATGGATGGAGCTTTGAAACTAGCTTTCCTGTGTTTTTGCTCCTGTTTCCATTCCAAGCTGAAGATTAACAGATCACCAGATGGTCCCAAAGACTGTGTGTCAACGTGAGCCAGAACATCCCAGCGCCAGGGACTGGCATGAGCAAAAGAATAATATACTAAGAAAGGAAGTAATGATGGCCAGAGGTGTATGAACTCTCTGTTTACCTGGAGACTTTGAACCTGGGGAAGGTGATGCTGTTCTTGATAAACAGGGTGAAGTTTTCAGCTGCCAGAAGGAGAGGTGGGCTGGAAGACATAAGCAGGGAGGGTCTACAGGTCAAAATACATGGAAGAAGAGGGATGTGTTCCAGTGGCCAACATCTGGAAGAGACCCATCGGGGCGGGAAGAGTCTTTGGGCACTTTAAAGGCTATCAAGAGGTATTATACCTGTGAAAGCTGGCATATGAAAAATCTTTGGCTATTATGGAAAGCCAGACAGACAAATAAGTTATATCTAGGTCGGCTCTCATTCGAAGCTGAAACGATTAAACCGAAGCTAGCATACCGTATCTTCTGTGTATAAGACGCCCCCACTTTTCTAATTCAAAATGAAGAAATCTAAGTGGGATTTAGCAAGTGTAGCGGGAAAGGGATCAAAGTGCTGCAGGATCGCTTTGATCCTTGCTTCCCCCCACTTGTATAAGACGACCCTCAATTTTTAGTCTAAAGATTTTAGTCAAAAGTATAGTCTTATACATGGAAAAATATGGCATTTTGGAGCTGGATGGATGGCTCAGTGAGTTAAGTCCCTGGCTGGGAAGCTAGAGGTTGGGAGTTTGCCTTCCAGGAGATGAGCCAGCCTGTGTGGCCTTGGGCAAGCTGTACAGTCCCAGGGCACCCCCTCCAAAAAAATATGAAATGGTAAACCGCTCCTGAGTACTTTCTACTCAGAAAGCCCTGAAAAGGGGGTCAACCTGTCAGAACTGACGTGAGAGCACATCATCCTCATCTTCATCCTCATCAGTGAGGTTTGGGCCATACGGTGAGAGAAGAAAACTCACCGGACAGGAGGAGAAGAGGAAGAAGGAATGTCAGAGGGGATAAAGGAAGCCACCGTGATACCCATCCTGCATCCTTACAAAAGATTCTAACGTGAGCCTTGTGTTACGGCAAAAGAGCAGAGACCTGACTTCTTACTTGGGTACATTGTCATCGATTTCTACGGGGCACCAGCCGAAGATCTCGCAGGTCTTCTGTGCGCTACTGAAATTCACACACTTCCCGGTCATGATACCTGAGGACAAAATGGACAGCAAACCGTCCCGTTAGTTCATCTCCACCACCGGGAGGGCGTTCCGGGCATGTCCTGTTTCTAAAATCAGCGGCACTGGGCGTGGAAAATGGGACATGCCGGCCGCTTGAGAAAACCTTAACTAGCTGGATCACAAGTCCCAGAATCCCCAGCTGGCTAGGAGATCCTGGTGTGTGTGTGTTCGATCCCACCCAGGGACTCTTCTACGCTTAGCAGAAACACTTTCCCTCCTAAACTATATATATATAATATAATTTATTGTCATTGTAAGTATATACACAGTATACCCATACAACGAAATTCACAACTATGCGCTTCCCTCTATGATCAGTTGTGCAAAAAGGATGCGAAAGTTTAGGGACAGCATTTTACATCGTCTAGGGAGGATGATGGCAATGAATAAGAAACAATGCGAGGATTATATTGTGGTAATTTTCCTTTTGCAGAGAGCAATTTCTCTCTCTCTCTCATCATTGTCTTCTCCGTTATAAATCAACCTTTTGAAGACAGTTTTAAACAACCAAGTATTTTACAACAAGTAGTTTTTTTTTTTTAAGAGTGTTTTTGGCCCCCTTACCTTGACCCTGACGAAGGAATTTCCCTCGACTACATTGACGGTCATCATCACAGCTCCCTGCCTCAGGATGCTGACATGAGGGGGGGAGGGAGAAGCAGGGGCAATAATGACTATACAGGCAAAATTAAAAACAAAATGCTTTCAAACAAATTTTGACAAATTAAAATTTTAACAAAAGCCCACAAATTTAAAAACTTTTTTCCCCATTTAAAAGCCCACAAAGACTTTGGGTTTAATCATTGATGTCATTTTGCTCCTGAATGTCATCAGCAAGACGTTCGAATCCAGGGACGACGCTCAACAAATAACAGATTACCTCGGGGCACGTTTCCTGTTTTTGTCGATGAGTGATGATGAAGTTGGTCATCACTACGAAGGAACTGTCTCCCTATGGAGGGAAAATAAAGTGAACGGAGAGAGAAGAGATAAAGAAAATACCCTGTCATTGGAACAAGTTCAATTATGGGGTGATTTGTTTTTTCAGGGCAGAAACAAATGCGATGGCAGCTTTGGATTTAGAAGTGGAGCTGGCTTAAGAAGTAAAAGGCATCTGATGACTCTCCTGTGTTGTTGTTCCTTAGTACCGTCCCCCAGAATTTCACTTTTTCTCCCATCAGGCAAATGGAAGGGCAAATTTAGGAAACTTCTTATCAAGAAATGAACAGAAGAAAATTCTAAGAATCTTGAGTCTAGTGTCTAACAGCTCTGGTTGCATTGAATGCATATGTATGTGTGCGCTGGTGACTCTGATCTGAATTTTAGTCCAAACTTTACCATCTACTGTGCTAACTATGGAACGGCTTCAGCATCTTGAATTGCGCCTTTCAAGTTTGGACTAAATCTGGGCATGGATTTGCTGCCCCTTGAAACTCAAGCTACCAAGCCTCTACCAGCTTCCCCATCCTTACCTGTGGCGGAAAAACATAATCGGCCACGTCCCATACATATGGTCCCATATCGCTGAAATTTGTCAGCGTCAAGCCTTTGAGCTTCACGGAGACCGAGCTGATGATCCCGTCTTTGGACTGATAACCTTTCTCGTAAAGAAACACCCACCTAGGAAAAGAGATCAGGAAATCTGGATAAGTAAGGCTGGATAATGCGGTGGTTTAGGTCTGAGGTTGGGGGGAGTTCAATTCCCCCCACTGGGCCTCTTGTGAGTAGAGCCAGCCTGGGTAGCCTTGGGCAAGCTGCACAGTCCCGGGGATACCTCCAGAAGAAAGGAACGGGAAACCAAATCAAAGGATAATGAAGTAAAATTGGTCCAGGACAAATGTTCTGTGACTGTGGAGAAATTCAATCAACGCAGCACTGATGTCCCATCACATGTACAAAAGAAGGTCTAGCAAACAGTTGAGATAATGCTACTGAAATAGCCCGCTTCTGGTCAAAAAATAGACTCTAAATCTTAACATTTTAATTTATTTTTCCCTGTATTTCATATACGGACATAATTCAAATGGTGTGGCTCTTTAATAGGAGTAAGGAAATATTATTCTACTATTAGTGTTTATCTCTCCTCTAGGTTTCGTGCCCCCTTACTATTTATTTGTGCTTCTTTTAACCCCAAGATTTCCCCCCCAAACCACCTGAAATGTCTTTTTTTTCTTCTTCGCGGCTGATGGTGTTTTGGCTGCATGAGCTTGGACGTAACTGGCCGCATGAGTGTAGTTATATGTAAGTAGTTACTGTGGGAGTAACTAGGGTGTAACTAAGTTACGTTTTGAAAACAACTGGCATAATCCTGTTCACTTATACAAATGCAGAAGTGGAATCATATAAAGATGATCTCCCAAAGTAGATCCACCTTCAAATACTCTTTGTGAAATCAATCACACAATCACACAAAGGACAGACAGCAGGAAGGGGGAAACAGCTGTGCAATTTCTCTTGCTATATGCATTTTTTTTTCTTAATAAGACTTTGGGCTAATTTAACAAGTAATTACAAAGTTATGATTGTTGTGGGTTTTTCGGGCTCTTTGGCTGTGTTCTGAAGGTTGTTCTTCCTAACGTTTCACCCGTCTCTGCAGCCGGCATCTTCAGAGGTCAGCATTCTGTGCTCTGGTGTAGTAATTACAAAGTTACTTTTAGGTATAAATAAAAAAGGTGTCTAGTTACTTTGTAAGGACACGTAAAGAATTTTTAAAAGACTGCTATCGGAATTTTGAAAAGGATCCCCCCCCAACTTTTATGCCATGAATCTTAAGGGCCAAAGGAAGTCTCGATTTGCCTTTTTGTATTTTCAAGATATAATATCAGAACTGGCCTCTAGGGGGAAGCAGAGAGCATATTTCCACATTATCCCAACATACTGCTAAGAGAATGAATTAAAAACATGCAACATAATTAACTGTTTTTGGAAATAGAGTAGCAGTAATGATAACAATAATCTGGCTGTTCTAAAGCAATGCGCGGAACATTCCAGTTCCTCCACTCATGGTTTAAACATCAAAAATAAGGGGTGGGTGGGATTAACCCTTATCAGAATGCAGGCCTGTCTTATATTGGTCTAAGACTCCCTGTCCAAAACATTCATTGTATGTGCCAGCCTTTGTGGGAATATTGCCCACAGTCTGAACTGGGGGTAGAAGCCAGATTTCTCTCCTTTTTTGGCCTGGAAGACTAAATCTACCCATTCCTCCTTAAAAAAAACGGACTTCTTTTACAGGGCTCTGTGGCAATCCAGCATTCATTAAGTCCTTGTTTTGCTAGTGACTTAAGCCCCCGGTTACAGAGTCAGAAAGAAAAGAATCTTATTCCTAGCAGAATGCCCATCGGGAGGTGGGGGGAGAAAAAAGAAATATATAAATCAATCATTTTAAAAGATTCTTCCCAACCTACAAATGGCATTTCGGCCTGAAGTCAAATTAATTTCCAAATATTTTATATTTGTACTGAATATAACCTGGTTTCTAACTCTGGGTTATGGGCTTTGTTGTGGGACATGGCAAGGATGGAAAAGGAGCCGAGGTAGGGTTCTGCCTGCCGTTTCATTCCCGGTGGTGTACAGATAAATTTCAAAGTACAAGCTCACATCGTGACAGTGCCCATAAGCCATGCCCCGAAAACGAGCCTCCAAAAGCAGACCGTTGTGTTGAACTGCAGCAGTCATCCAGGACTATCACCATAAGCAGGTCTTTTGTCAGGCTAACGGCTCTTGATCGTTGCTATAAAATCCTTCTCGTCCCTAACTGCTCGGATCCCAGCAACCCCTCAATCCAGAATCTGTTCCAAATTAGCGAAAACCACCACCAGACCCATCTTCTGATGTCTATTTTTCAGCGATGGAAACTCCTGCAGTTCTTACAGGCCTGTACAGAGGAGATGTGCAATGAGATACACCCCAAGTTCTCCCCCCCCAAAAAAAAAATTATCAGAATTTTTTTTTGTGGGGGGGAAACCTTTTCTAGGCTTGGCCTGAGAATGGATACTCCAGTGTGTCCAAACTATTCGTTAATCCGTTCCCAGGGACCTTTAGCTTTTATGAACTTTCATCACGGAGATGAAACAGAATACATTTGTAAACGGTAGGAAGCTTCTGTGTCTCATGATTTTTTTATGGGTGAGACAAACCAGGTCCTTTTTTCCCTGGGGTGTCGAGACAGTCAACACTGCTTTCTCACTTGCCTTTCTTATTAGGCGAGCAAAGGACGAACTGCGCCATAAAGCGCGGAATCGCAGGACTGCGTAGGGTCGGAAGAGACCCTTGAGGTCATCCAGCCGGTGGCGAATTCCAAGGTGAAGTTTTTTAAAAATCCTGTCAAATGTGTTCAAAAAATATATGCTCCTCCAGCATATATATATGCTCCTCCAGCATATATGTGATGCTGGAGGAGGCTCTTAAGAGTCTCCTGGACTGCAAGGAGATCAAACCTATCCATTATGAAAGAAATCAAGCTTGAGCGCTCACTGGAAGGACAGATCCTGAAGCTGAGGTACCAGTACTTTGGCCATCTCATGAGAAGAGAAGACTCCTTGGAAAAGACCTTGATGTTAGGAAAGTGTGACGGCAAGAGGAGAAGGGGACGACCGAGGACGAGATGGCTGGACAGTGTCTGCGAAGCAACCAGCATGAAATTGACAGACCTCCGGGAGGCAGTGGAAGACAGGAGGACCTGGTGTGCTCTGGTCCATGGGGTCACGAAGAGTCGGACACGACTTAACAACTAAACAGCAATGTTTATATATGTGTATATCCTGCTATCTATAAAATGGTACTTCTTGGCTGACCTATGCCTTTTCATCCAACCCTGGCAACCTGCCCGTGGCAACATTTTCCAACGGATTCCAGAAACATGCATTTTTTGGTGGGGAGGATGTCAGAACATATTTTATATACGGGCCTAAAATTAAGACCTTCTTCCTTTCCTTTTGGCATGCCAGCTTTTCATTCCCAGCCTCTCGAACGACGGGCAAAAGCCGGTTGCGCGGCAGGCAGGAAATGTCTGGAAGATTTTGTCGAGAGAAATTCCCATAATGTGGGAAGCCGGCTTTATTTAGCCGGATGAGAATCCCGGAACGATTGAAAGGGGTCAAGATGCTTGAAGGTCTTCATATTGACGTCCCCGCTAGCCCATCCAGAGGCCCGGGCACCGTGGCAAATATTTCAATCAATTTAATCATCCTTGCAATTCCACTGCGTAGCTTGCTAACCTTTAATCCTAGAAAGGGTTTTTTTTTGCCTTCGTATGTTTATTATTCCAGTTTTGTTCTGTATATTTGTATTTTTGTCTTGGAAGTTGCCCAGAGCAGTGGCTGGCCCACTGGATGGGGAGGCATACGTTTTAAAAAATCAAAAAACTAAAATAAACAATCCATCTGTGGTTGAAATCCGGCAGTAAGCTGGGTAGAGTAAGCCGGCTGAAAGAACGGAGGGGTTGATGTACCCAATCCCCATTGATTAAACTCTAATAGTGACTTAACTATAGTAGGACCCGTCTTATCCCCAGATATCTGCTGATTCACTTATCCACTGCCAGACCCCTCTCTCCTTCCCACTGAGCATGATATATCTTCCTCTTGTGGGTCAGTAATGGAAGAAAGCCTCTCTCTCTTTCCTTATTTCCGCCCCTGGCACACTGATAGCCAGCATTTTGGGGGTATTTATTTTTCTGGACTACAAATCCCAGTATCCCCCAATGACCATGCTGGCTAAAGCCTCTTGGGATCAGTGTTCCAAACACAGGCAGCCGCTGCCTCAAAGGATAGTCTCATCATCTTTGGGAGCTGTAGTTTTCTCCAAGGGGGGTGGTGGCCATTTTTGGAAAACATCTCCCGGACGTTTCGCTGGGGAGACTGGGAGAGGTAGTCCGATAAAGCAACTTTTCCAGATTCTCTTTTGGAGAGTGGTTTGGTTTATTGAACCATCGAGTCTGGCATGAGCGAGAGAGAAACAAGCCATCTCAAATGGTAAGAAAAACACACAGGCCCACACAGGGCAAAGAGGTATGAACCTGGCTTTCTGACTGTCATGATTTAAGGCTGTTTTTCTTTTTTCGCTACTAGTTCAGCACATACTGTGTTTTGAGCTGCTGAAACAGGTCCCTGGAAGCTTTCAAATACTGGCGAGCAGCATAACCCGACAGCCTTTGCTTTCTAGGGCTGGCCTTTTTTTCTCTCCGGAGGAGACGGATTCAGAAACAAGAATGCACAGAACTTTGGAAAGGTCTTTTTTGAACTACCAGTGGCCAGAATCCCCAGCGGGAGAAGAATTTGGGGGACACGGATGAAATAATTGCGAAGAATCCTGTATGAATAGACTGAGGGACTGATGATCGATTAAGGACTCTGATGGATTCAAGACGAATGAGAACGACGTGGGATTTTGTGGTTTGCCGTTTATAATTCAAGCATTCTTTTTCTCTTACAAAAGCTATTTTTTAAACTGAAAAAGCCCTCCTCTGCCCTCTAGTGGCCAAATATATATATATGTGATATATATATATATAACTTTTTAAAAAAATTCACAGCATGGAAGACTCTGGGGAACTAAGTTCCTTCAAAATGGCCCCACGGACCCTGGAGGACACAAGGAAAGTTCTGGAAGCAATTACCCCCACCCAAAAATTAATTTTGCCAGTATTGGGTGTGCGTTTATTTTTTCTGTTGCAATAGTGTTCCCTTCCCACATTTAAAAGCCAAAAAAATGGGTGCCTTTTTTTTTTTTGGCAAAGAGGATATTTGGAAAAGTTAATAACAGTCCCAAAGACGTTTATCAGCAATACAATTCATAAGAGATAATTCATAATACTGAGGACCATGGGAGTGGTAGTCAACCCTATTTTGTGGCTATCAACTTGGAACAGTTAAATCTCGCTTGTGGCCTACACGGCCAGTTCCACGGAGTCCTGCTGAATGATACAGCCCTTCTCCTAAACATAAAACATGATTCCAGTCCTCAAGGTTTTGACTGAGATGCTGATTTAAAGAAGAGCACCTGTCTTGAGTCATACTACGCCACTGAGAGCAGTCCCACCGTCTACACCGCAGCTTGGAAAAAACTTTCCAGTACTCGCTAGCTAGGACATGTAGTCCTAAAAGGAAGCATCTCTGGGTGCTGCTACAGGGGATTTTCTTATGTGCCCAGCACAGTTCTTTTGGGAGAAGTAGCTAATACGAATTCCTCCGAGACCATCATCACCATGTAACTTTTGACCTGACTTCTGAGTCCGTGGTGCTTCCTTGGGAGGTGGATGGTGGCACCAGTCCCAACAAACAAGCTATTTCTGGCTTCCTTTCCAGACTTCCCTCTCTCTCTCCCTCCCTCTCTTTCTTTAAAAACAGTTGCCTGTTGCTGGAGGAGAGCTTTGCGGAAACCCTGGGCTGCCAGAGAGATGAACATAGTCCAAGCCTGAACTATCCCTGGAGGCAAAAACTTTGAAGCTGAGACTGTCCTGCTTTGGAGAAGGCCGGATGCCCTGGGAAAGACCATCATGCTGGGAAAGCTGGAAGGCAGCAGCCGGATGCCCTGGGAAACGCCATCATGCTGAGAAAGCTGGAAGGTAGGAGGAGAAGAGGAAGACCCAATACGAGACAGACTGACTGCCTAAAGGAAGCCACAAGCTTGCGTTTACAATTGCTGAGCGGGGCTGTTGAGGGAAGGACATTCTAGAGATTGCTGGCACTGAGGAAGCCACAGGCTTGATTTTACAATTTCTGAGCGGGGCAGTTGAGGGAAGGACATTCTAGAGATTGCTGGTTTATGAGTCAGAAGCGACTTGGCGACACATAACCACAAACAAAGCTGTAGATATTTCTTGCGGCGTTGTGACTACGACAAAGCTGTAGATATTTCTTGCGGCGTTGACTTGCACAGAATTTGGGGCCCCTGACTCATGAAACCCTGCCATTCCGTGCGGGCAAATCCTGCTCTATATGGATCCATGCGCGGGATGTTTTCTATGCTCGTACATTAACCATCCCTTACCAATCATGAGGACTAGAATCTTTATAAGAGAACGGCCAGAGCTTGCAGAGAGAGCCTTCTGCATGTAGATCTTAGTCCCCATTATCTCCAGGTATGTTTGGGGTGGTTGTCACGTGGTTAAAAATGAAAACTGAGGAGCCACGTGGAAATTCCGAGAAGGAAGAACTATAAGCACTCCATTAATATTTAAGCCCGACAAAATAGGTTTATAAAAGTCTTAGAACTGCAGAGCTGAGAACCTACAGATCATCGAGTCTGTCAAGGAGGCACCGTGGGGGAATCGAACTCCTGACCTCTGAGCCTCAACTGCTATCCTGCAGTTCTTTAAAATGTCACAAGATCCTGGGATTGTCAAAATAAGTAAGACTAGGACACCCAAAACTTGCCCGTATTCTGTTACTGGTTTAAGATTTGGGGTTTGGAAGAATGTGTTACTTACTGTCTATCGAACCAGAAGTGGGTAGACATTAGATTTTATTTCAAGCGATGGGTTTACGAATTTAGTTGGCGAATGACGAGAATCAGAGAGAAGGGGAAATCGTCATGCAGCTACTACCCGGATGACCCTAAAAAGTGTCACCCTAAGTCGGAATCGACTTGACGGGCCCCATCATCCTTCCCCATCAGGAGCTCATCAAGTCTAAAGAGGCTCAGCCCAGCCTCGTTGGATGGCTCTTCTACTTGATGGCCCTTGACTGGCAGACACTCACCCGATGATGTACGCCAGGACCACCAGCTGGATCAGACGGAAGGTAAGCCCCACTTTTTTGTTCCGCACCAAGACCATCCTCGGCGTGTCGTATTCGAAGAGGAAGGACGCCACGGTGTCTGTAAATTTGTGCCCCATGGTGGCGGGGGAAAACAGCCCTTCCGTGGGGCGCTTTCCGATGGAGAGCCGGGAGGCGCTTTCTAGCGGAGGTTCCGGTCTTCAGATGGGTCTCCACAAACCTTCATGGGTGGTTTGGCCCTCACAACCTCTTCGTGGTGTTTTCTTCTGCTCATCGGTGGCGTGCTTTTGACCTTCCTTGGGAGATGCTGGGGAGTTTTCTCCTCCCTCTCTCTCTCTCTGTCTTAAGCTTTCTCTGGGTGTAGCAACTCCTTAGATGGCTTGTGGGAGGGCAGAGATGGCACGTGGGTGGGGGATTTTTTGAGAAAGAGGATGGAGGCTACTAGATAGGCAGAGCTGAACAGACAGTGGATCCGTCTTTCTCGCCGTTTAAGGTGTAAGGGGATGCTGGGAGAAGAACTGAGCTGGCAGGTAGCCGCTCCTAGTTGGGGGATGATGGGAGCTGTAATCCTAAGCAATAACTTTCCTAAGCGCTGGCGAGAGAGGAGCGTTGCTGAAGACACCAGTCCACCATGTACAAAAAACAGGACGATATTTGCAATACCCTAATTTTAGTATCTCTGTGCTTCTCCCTGGAAAACTTTGCTCTCTACTTTCCGTACGCTGTGGTTATTTGCTTTTCAAGTACCTTCCCCCTGCCGTTTTTGAAGCTAAGGAGTTGTTTGTTCTGGGATATTAAAAAGGACGTGGGTAGGTAGGGAGAGACAGGATGTTACCCTAGAATAGGTGACTAGTGGGTCAAAACCTAGTGAGAATATTATGATATGGTGCTTAGGGTGAGATTCTAGACCCTAGAATTTCCGTCGCTGCGCCATTGTAAAGATCCCTGGGTGTTCTTACCCCACAGAGAAGATAGATAAACTGGGTAAAAGAGGAAGGGCTTCTCCAGTAAACCCGTAGGACATTGGAGAACGTGCAAAGTTAAACCAAAATTTTGTCTGTGAGT